TGTGGACGTGTCTCGCAGCAGATGAACATTGTTTGGACTTTGTTTGGAGCTTAGGGAGTGCCGAGGTGGTGGAAGTGAAGGTGTGGTTGTTGGGTGGAGGTAACTCTTTCTACAGAGATGAAAAGTCTGACCTTTTATCAGCAAAGGAAAGTACATTCGCTTCCTCATTACCCAATGTTAAGACCATGCAAAGGTCCAGACTAAATATGCGTATAGAGTGGATAGCGCAAGGGGAAAACACCGTAGTGTGTGTTTCTGTCTTTGGGTTTCTTTTTCCTCTCGCTGCTGTTTGCCTTCCATCCTCTCCGGAGCTGCTGAGTTCGCAGAGGACTTCAAGGGTTTTGCACTGCTGAGCTCCATATCTCTTTACCCCCTGCCCCCCTCCTTTAACGCCCACCTCTTCCCCCCTGTGCCTCTCTGACTCTTCCTCGCCCATGCTCTAAGGAGCTTCAGAAACCTGACTGGGTAATGGGAGCAGCAGTCAATCAAATTGCGTTTTCAAAGGTGATGCTTTGTTTCACTCTCCCTTCCCACAAATCCCATCGAGCCTGGCACCTGTCAGGGTGTCGTTCTGAAATGCAGCATCCAACGCCAGTCACCCAAACCCCCCCGGTCCCTCAGCAGATGGAGGGGTTGACTCGTCGGCTGCCTGTCGAGAAATGAGGTCATTCTATTTTAGCTAGGTGTAACTTTTTTTCTGTTTCTTTTATAAGCTGACACCCTGCAACGGGAAAGTAAAACACTATTCATCTGGCTTCCTTTCCTGTAGACTTGGTTATAGAGCAGCACGCTTACAGGTTTTAGGGTGAAAAATGATATTTACTTTTGCTTTATACAAGGCTTTGTATAAAGCTAATCATGAATTAATGCTGTATTTCTATTGGTGCCCTTCAGTTTTATGGAGTCTGACAACATTGTCAAAACACCGCTGGTGCTGCCAGCTCTCATAACGTGGAGGTTGGTAATAAACTGTCAAATGAGCTCTTGTTGTACCCTGATACCGTGAAAGGAACAGTAAAACCCGATATGGCAGAATGGGCAGCATCAGTGGACGCCCACAGCAACCGGGGGCCCTTGTATCTCTAAGGCTTTACGGGCTCAGGTCTGACTCATTTCCTCTTTTACAGTCCCAGTGACCTTCCTATTAGGGCTCTATTAGCTGAGAGAGAAGCGTATAGCTGGTCTGTTTGTCCAGCTGCAGCCTCTTCTTATAAACTGTAGTGGATAAACAAGAGCGCAGATTGACTTTATAATGGCATGAAAAGAATGAACATGTGTATAAACACATGAAGTATAAAAAGAGTCCAAGATGCAAAACTATTATGTACAGTGACTGACAATAACAAGCATGTGGACACCACTTCCTCAAAAAAAACGAGCGCCGACCCATATCAACCAAAGGGCCCCTTAGTGTCTTTAGTTAGCTGACAGGATCTAAAAAAAATATAGAAAGTCTTCTATTTTACTAAAAAGCTGTGTTGAAATGACAGCACAGAGGGACGTACAGTAAACAAAGTGATGAGAACTCAGACTGGGTACAGCAGCGTTGTTTGATGTCTTTTCAGCAAGGTAAATGTTTGACTGGGTGGCTTTTAGATAGTAGATTCTGATTAGTTAGAGTATAGCCTTCCGCCATAAAACGCACCACCTCTGTTCAGCATTCTGTTCAGTGCGTTTTTCACCAAAGAAGAGGGGCAAAAAAACTGACGGCTGACGGCTAAATTCAACTCACTTTGCTTCCATTTACGTGTTCCCTGGAATCAATTTTACAAGGTAAGATTTGTGCACTTGTCCGTAACGTCTAGAGGTTATTTGATCATAAGGAGATGGCTTCCACCATGGTGATATCACCGTATAATATTATCTGCTGTGCTGTAGGAGACAGTGGCAGCTAGAAAGCAACAAACTACAATGTTACATTAACTCACTGCATACGAAAAAAAATTACAAATTCCATCCAATGCTTGAACATCTTTTAATTTGGCAACTATTTTGTTTGGTGAAAACTGTGAATTGCTACATACTGTGGCATCTGTAAAAAGCGTGGGCTTCTCAATAAAAAAATGAAGGTTGGAGTCACTTAGCAGTGCGATTTTCAGTGCATTCAGATGTCTGATGAGGGGATAGGACTATGAGAGCAAATGACTAAGACATTCCTTTAAAAGCTTGTCCTTAGTCTGTGCCTTAGATCAGAGCGTGTTTCTCCGGGGCCCACCTCAGAAGGCGGTAACAGTATCCAGGTCGGGGTTAAACGCAACTCATTCTGCTCTTTCATTCTGAAGACTTACTGACAGCCGAGAATGAAAAGACTTGCTTGCACAAACCTCATCGACTTCCTTCTCCCTTTAAACAGGAAGTCCTGCAGCTCCAAAAATACTGGATTAAATAGCCCTGGAAGGATAACAAAGTGAGTACATTGGAAGCCACACTCAATTTCTAAATGGCGAATTGAAACTTTTGGACAAAACTCTAATTTTGCTGCCTTGATTCATGGAACTGGCAGAAATAATAGCAAATTCCGTTTTGTCGGCGCTTTCTACTTGACAATGAAAGTTCGAATAAGTTTAATTTAGAAATGCAAATCCCTGTTTGTGTTTGTTATGATAGGCAAGTGACAGGTGTCTTGAATCTGAATGTGTTTCAAGCTCCTTCTTTGCAAATCGTAAATAGAAAGCCTCCGAGCTAAATAAGAACCAGCACATATTATTATATCTCAAAGGCAGCAAGACAAATATTACAAGCGTAAGGCGGGCTGGCATGCACAAGATATGCAAAGCACTGAGAGGTGCAAAACAGAAATGCAGTGTTGAACATGCGGCGCATATTTCAAATCAAATCACAACACTCGCGACAGCTAATCCGGCCCCTGCAAATGAAACTCCATAGTGTGCTATCAATACTTTAAGGTCAGACCCCAAACAAAATATAAGCTTGTCTTCATAATTAGCATGCACCTCCCAGCTTTTTGTGCTGAAATATACCAGTGAAGGTAAGAATACAATCTAGGAAACATGAGAGCAGGAAGGATAAGTGTTTTTTTTTATTTCACAGGCAACCTAATGCATGGTATTATTAGTATTTGTTCCTTAACCTAACAATGTTTGTAAGACAAGCAAAGGAAAAAACAGGAATATGGAACAAGACCCCGGTGGTCTGAATAAACTTATAGCAACCGAGCAACCAAAAGTATTTCGAAATTATTTTTCAATACCAATCAGACCTCCTCATCCTTCCATCCTCACATCCCTTTTTCTCTTTATTTCCCTGTGAGAGCCATAGATTAGATTTCTATTAATATTCTTCTGACAAAGGAAGAGAATAAAGAATAGACATAATATGACCAACACCTTAAGGTGTGATCACACATGCTCATTGAACACCGGTCAAGCATTGTCTTGCCTACTTCTTCAACTGGCCTTCAAGCTTATTATTGGATTGTGCTTCGGACAGTGGGATCGTTGACAGTAGATAGCTGTTCTGACACAACGAGGCTATCCGCAGGAAACACATGGAGGTAACCTTCACTTCGACGTATGGATCAGTAGCCTTCACAGAGCCCCTGACACAACGGATGTATTGGCACATGGATTCAGCTGGCTATCAGTGGCGCCAGATAAGCTTGTCATATCTACTCTGACTCTCAGGGGTGTTACAGGATGGGGATTCCCCTCTGTACATCCTCTTAAAAAAAACATACAGCACTCCTACTCTCACACTCACAGTCACACACAGGCGCTCTCTCTCACTCACACACACACACACACACACACACACACACACACACACACACACACACACACACACACACACACACACACACACACAGCTTGGTAACACATGCACCCTACCCCACCTGAGCCCAGCAGTGAAAGGTCACACGCCCCCATGTGACAGCTGTCAATCACGGGGGGTGGGTATTATCCGATGCATTAATAACACCCCTAAAGGTTCTGGGAGTCCATGGGAATATAAATCTCCACACTTGTCACCACTGGATGTGACCTACAGGAAGCCTGTGACCCCTCAGATCTTCTCCAAATCAGCAGAGGCACAAGCATTATGTTTAAGGAAAAACAAGTCTGGTTGGTAAAAGGTTGGCTTTACTAAAAGAACATGCAGAATGCTAAAGATACATTAAGATTCAAGAGAAATTAAATGTTGATAAAGTACTGATGTGTTGTTGTATCTATCCATTTATCCATTTTATAATTATCATCTAAATGTTGTGTATAAGATTGTCACCATTATGATCCATTCCCTGTTTAGGCTGTGTAAAATTGATTTAAGTTTTTTTTGGACTCTTGGATGGACTTTTTTGAGGCTCTGTTAAGCTGTTGTTTACTTACTAGAGCTTAAACACATTAATAGCAACATATGAGGGAACATCACATGGCCTTTTAGCAATAAGCTATCAACACACTAATATGAAACTAAAGCTCTGCGTGGCGTTGTCGACACATCACAAATGTGTTGACACAGAGGTTATGTGCCATGAAACCCCCCCGGTGACAAACAACCCAAAGTCACGTGACTCTCGGGGAGGATTACCTGTGATCCAAGGATAATGAAAATAAAAGGACTGGCTGATATTACATTTTAACACAGGCAGAATGACTGATAGGCTCTTGTTGTTCTCTATTTTAGTTATTTTTCACCTTGCCTTTTGATTGCGCCTACTGGCACGGGGCAATGCCCCGCGGGAAGCGGCAGCGATAAAACCCTGTGTGAAATGCATTGTTTTTCTCTGCAGCGTTTGTCACGCATGACAAGAAAAAAGCAAGCAAACACAATCACACCGCTGCTAATACATTATACATGAGGCGTAAATGAACTGGATCGTTGCAAAGCTCAAGAGCAAGGCACAAAGCCGTCGTCCTCTGAATGAAGGAGAAAGGCATAGAGCACACTGCAGCTTTGAGTGCCAGCCGATGCGTTCATCTATGTAGAGTCAACGGACTCACGGGCGGCTGCGTATGGGGTATTTTTTGTGCGCCCCCTACCTGTCTGGAGCTGCAGGGTGTCCGTTGCGTGGCTTGTTGACTCGAGCATACAGGGCCTCCAGGGGGGGACCCTTTTCCTGTAGACTCGAAGGAAGGGGAAGACTCTGGAGACTCTCGGGGAGATGGTAGTGGGGGCTGTAGGGCTCCAAGCTGCTGCTATCCACCGAGGAGTCTAATGATCCAATGCCGGCGTAGGTGTGCTCCTCATCTGAGCTGAAGGCCCCGCTGACAATGTCTTGGATCTCAGCGTATTCCCGCTCCTTTCCTGCTTCTCCCGAAACTCCTGCATCTTGGCATGTATTCTGCGATGAACAGATTCAACAGAAAAAGTCAGATATAAGTGTATTTCACTTGTGAATCATTGGGGAAACCTTAACCTTAAGGGAAACGTTAAGTTCAGAAATCCTAAAAAAAATGATCTCAAATTGTGATAGATATACATATAAAAAATGACTAAGATGTTGGGCCTGGCAAGTAGTATCAAGATTGTTTTTTGGTGTAAAATGTCCATTCCATACTGCGCCTTAGTGTGAAACTATGTATATGGACAACATAAGCTGATGCAGAAAAACATATTGAATGGACAAATATTAATTGGTTCTCAAAATGTTTTGTGCATGGTTTTGTTTATTTGCATGCTCTAGAAGCCTATATATAATATTTGTTGAATCTCTGCAGATGGAAACAAATCCAATTGCCATCTTGTTTTAATATGAAAGGAAAGGTTTCCATTGCATCTACCTGGGAAAGATGCTACGGTTTACATGCGTGTCTTTGGGGAGACCAACTGTACCCAGTACGAGACAAAAGGGAGATACTTGACAATAGTTGACACACTGAGTGGCGGGTGTGTTACAAATGTACAGTAAATAGGCAACCTGGGATAATGAGTTGGGAAGAAAAGAAAAAGAAAAACTATAATATTCCAACACTCACTCAGTCCACTTAGAGAAGCTAACATTAGCATTCCAACTTTGAAGTTTGTTCCCTGGTATCGATCAGAAACTTCTAAAGTGGCTTCCTTCTCTTAAGTAACGGGGAATGACAACAGAGAATAATGGCTTCTACTGTAGTGAGGGCAGTATTATTCAAATATGTCTTTCCATGAGCCATTAGAGTGCACTGAGCTTTATCCCTCAGGTCCTCTAAGAAAAGGAGGTGGAAGGGAGAGAGTCAGACCTCCTCTTCTCGTCTCCTTCCAGCCCTTCCTCTCCCTACATGCTGTTCCTCTCCCCAGGACTTCTTCCACACAACAGAGCCTTTCACATAGTCTTTTCCTGTATCTGAGAATTGTTCCATGTGAACGCCCATCTGTCCGCAGCTAACAAGGTTCAGTCATGGTGCTGCGTGGGAGCGAGGAGAGCTGGCGGGGGAGGAGCGGGGAGGTGGACAGTGGGAAGCAGAAAGGAGAAGGCCGGGGGGGTTGGTGGGGGTATTGACCTCCCACTGTGGTGACCCTGGCAGCAGCCACCAGCAGACTGCTCAGTGCTTCCAGATGTTGTACCCCTGCTGTAGGGTAACACGCACAACAAAACACAAGCACGCCACGCTACCTCCCGCTGGTGCACGACTTCCCCATCACCTCAGGTCATAACTGACCTCTGACCCCTGCCCCCCACTGCTGGTGCTAAAAGATGATTGACACGTTTGGAGCAGAGTTAGGATCCCCCCCTAGCATAACTCTCTCTCTCCTGTGTCTGTGTATTTTAGTACCAGTAATCACATTTCAAACAATCCCTGTTCTTCAATGCCAAATTAACCCAATTCCCACATCCCACCCATAAACTGCCCTGTTTATTTTTAGCTGTCAAAAATCCCATTTTCTCAGCATTATCTGCCAAATGCAATTTTGATGGAATGTTGCATGATATGGTAAATGGCCTGTACTTGTATAGCGCTTTTCTAGTCTTCAGACCACTCAAAGCGCTTTAACACTACATGACATAATTCACCCATTCACACCCATTCATACACTGATGACAGGAGAACCATACACAGTGACACCTGCCCATCAGTAAATAACATCCACACACTGTAGTCGCAGCTACAGGAGCAATGTTGGGTTAAGTGTCTTGCCCAAGGACACATCGACATGCGGGTTAACCAGGCCTGGGATCGAACTGACAACCCTCTGATTGGAGGATGAACGTGCTCCCCACTCACCCACAGTCGCCCTCGATATGCAGGAATCTCTAAAACCCCTAAGCTGGTTTTGTGTTTTATTTGCATTGGCAGAGACCAGGTACATCACGGCAATGACCAAATCACAGCGCAGTTGTCACTTCAGTAAGGATATAGAAAACAAGCCTCTCAGGGAGAAAAACATAAATTCCCAGAAGCCCCTTTACCTGCGGCTAAAATGATGTCAGATCTCTGCCAGGAAGGACCAGACAATGATGTTACGACAGGTTCACGGAAGTCCGTTGGGATCTCCAAACCCTCTGGCATTTTATAGACTAATCAGATTCATAAAAACGGCAATATTGACATTTGGGATGAGATAATGGCCTCAGCCTGACTGGCGACATGATTCTAAAAGAGAAAGACTTCTCTTCCAGGCCTGTGGGATTCTGACAAGGAAAAGCTAACAGGTGCATTTCAATGAAAGGGTATTAACAGGCAAAATTTCTAAATGATCTCACAAGGGGGTGACGCAGTCAGTCTGCAGTGAGAGGCTGTTCTGGCGGTCAGACAGACTAATAAACGGCCTTGGCAGTTGGCACTAGGTTCAATCACAGCAAACTGAGATTTGAGTGTTAGAATTAAAAGTGCAAGATATTTTTGGCAAGATATCTCCTATTTACTGTCTAAAAAGAAATTACCAGGGATTTAGTCTTCTAAAAATCCATTTGCGTCTCATTTGCATGACATTATGAAATTCTTCTTGGTTAATACCTTTTAAACTATTGACACTCTGCCTCTAGTTCTACTTATGTCTGTTAGCAAATGTCACCATGCTAGTCAGCTAGACTTGGATAGTAACCAAGGAAAACATGATATCCACTAAATGCAAATATATTAACAGTACAAAATAAACAGCTCAAATGCATTTTCAGTAAAAATACATAGTTGCGAGTGTGGCTGTCTTATCAACAGAACAAAAAGGGATTTATAGTGAACGTACTGCACGTGCAAAATAGTAACTATACACATATTTAACTTTGAACTACACTATCTCCATTGAAAATAGTCCTATGCCCCAGTATGCAATCCTAATTTCTCCCTCTGTATCTGTATAGAGGTTCAGAAAAATATAAAGGAAATTAGGCTGGACAGGCTGGACTTTGGAAGTCTTTTGGAAGACTTTTCTGCAGAGTAATATGCTCATTAGCTCCAAACCATACATCCACACCTGCTCACAGAGTTCTCCTTGGGCAACTTGCGACTGCTCCACTTCCACTTCCACCCCCCCCCCCTCTCTCCCACTCCCTCCTGAGAGGCCACCCCCGCTCTCTACCATTTACTCCATTAGCCAATTAATGGCCCAGCATGTTAACATTAAGGAAAGGGCTGCCCACACTGAACACATTAATACTGTACAGCCCCAATTACCGGCCCCTTTGCTCTTTTCCCCTCTTACCAGACACTATGATCGAGAGGAGGGGACACTGTAGCTTCTAAGCAACCAGCACGGGGCTATTTCATTTTAAAAAGGGGACAGTCTGGATTAAGTAGTTCATTTCTTCTTGAATTAGACGGATGAAACAAAAGTACACAATTCCACTATGAATCAGTTTATTTTCGTTTCTCTTCGGGATGTCTGTGATTTACTTTATTAACTTCATATGCACTTTTGAATACAATACGATCTCAACTTGTTCATTCTTCATAACGTCACAGGGGAAAGGCATTTCCTCCTGGCTAAAGACAGTCTAGACCGTCTAATGCTGAGGGTTTTGGGGTTGTTAAAGTTTAACCTAATCCACTGACTGACACTGTTTTCGCCTGAGCTTCATTTCTCAAGTCCTTCCTCACTATACTGAATCAATCTCACAGTTTATCCAACAGGATGCTTTTAGGGGGACTAACAAAGCCGGCAGACTCCATCTCCATATGTTAGTCAATGTGTGATCTACCCAGGGGAGGTGGGAGGCGAGGCTATGTGTACTTTCAGACACTCGTTTTGAAGTCAACACGCTTAGAACAAAGCCTGCCTTCTTAATATGCATTGTCGCAAGGCTGAATGAAACAGAATGTATTTGCTACTTTCCCTCACTAGGCCACCTTGAACAGATATTTTTTTCTTTTCAATTCATCCTTACTAAAACATGTTCTATTGGTCTGAAGTGCAGATGGAGGGAACGACGTACCTGAATCTGATCAAAGTGCAGTTAATGATACCGAGCTGAATCGCTAAAAACCCTCCGATAGTGCATCTTTTGTGTTGACACTTGGCCCAAAACCGCATAATGCAATCACGGAGATAATTGTCAGAGTTTCCGTGGTGTTAATTCAAAGTGTTAACAATCTCATTAACTGGCTGTAGGTATCAATATAATTACAAATGTAATCACACTTCCCAATCAGCCAGTTGGAGCTTCCTTTGAACTCGCTATGCAAATGAGATGCAAATAGGATAGAGAAATAATGAGATGGTTTGACAAAGTGGAATGATATCGTTGGTACCACAATCACTGTGATAGGAGGGATGTGCCTTACAGCAAATTGCTTTACTTTTTCTTTTTTTTCAACAGCGGCATTGTACCCCGAACAAGGTATGCGAAAAGAACTTCTCCTTTGTTAAATAAAAGAAATAATAAATTGTCACGGCAAATCCAGGTGTGCTGTTTTCTTAATATTGAATTGTGCTAATTGACCCACTGACGAATCAATGGTCAGTCTGTGTTCATCTGGAGTCAGCAGGAACTCCAACATCACACAGATGGAAGTTGCATTTAAAAAGAAGTGGGACAAAGCAGAGATGTCCTCTGCAGTGGTTCAGGAGAGTGGCAGTGGAGTGTTGGCAGCTGATTAGAAGCCAACCAAAGCAGAGCAGATAAGAGAGAATGGACATCATAATCGGCTGCCAGCGAGAATGGAGTTGAGTTCAGGCGGAAAATGAAGAAGGAAAATTGTCAGGTTGTCTTTGTGTGCTCCCCTCTTTGGCTGGGAAAATATAGTTTGAGGGCTAACACGCACACAGATAAGTCAGGGACTGATAGAAGCTCCACCAACCCCATCCGCCCAGTGTTCGTTCACTCTCTCTTCTCTCCCCATGGCCTTGCATGAATGAGGGCCGTGGCCTCATAAACCGCTGCTTTCCTTCCCATCCAAGGTCCAATCAGAGGACTTGTTGTCTCCACAGTCCTCTCGGTGCGAGCCAATCAAATAGGGGTGTCTTGGATGCTGTCCACAGGCATACAGAGAGTGGAATAATAGCTGCTGCAGCCGCTGGCCGTGACCGAGATTCGGATCAGCCTAACCACAGGTTCTAATGTCGCCGTGATGGGACATGACACATTCAATCACAGGAGCCGTACTAAATCTCTCCGATTCGAGCAAAACAACGGCTGCCGATGTGGATGTACCGCATTTTGCCATAAGGATGATGTTTGAAGGACTGTCTTCTCCATCGTCCTCCGTCTATAAGAGCCTGACAAGATATCAATGGAGGAGAAGGTTCTATATGCAAGGGCCGCAGGCCAAACCAGAAATTGCATGAATCTTATCAAGGTCAGAGTTTTAAATATATGTATATATATATGACCTTTGCTGCCTCATTGCAGCATATAAAAGGGCAGGTTTTATGAATTAATCTGTCTCACCTCTTCGCTGACTCCTATTTTGAATCGCTAAAAGCCCCTGTCAAAACTATCTGCTTGAATTAACGATCGCTAATGTCAGCCGAGCTGGGGGTTTTGGCTGGGGCCCATCTCGGGGCTCGCTGACACGCAGGCTGGCTGAGGATTGCCAGTCGCCGACAACCCTCCGCGGTCAGATCCATGGTTTTATAAACGTACTCTGAAATGGTCCTGCTCCGTTGAGGCAGTGTAATCAATCACAGAATGTGCCTTAACGCACACAACTGAGACAATCAAATGTAGCACTTTGGGAGTGTGATACAGTGAGCCCAAGAACAAATAGAAGTTATGTATTTCTAAGCTGTCGTCCAGCTGAACCCTAATTGCTTTGAATATCGACTTGTCCTCGTGGCCTGTTGGTTTATTAATACCGACCACGTTTTCTCTCAGGATTCTCTTTCCATTAACTGACGGACAATCCTGGCCTGCCTGAGCGATGGGACTTGGGAACAGGTACAAAGGAGAGAATTAGGTTGCCCTCACACATGCATAAAGGACACAATCCAGAAGGTGAACAAAAGAAGGAGAGTGCGCCACATGACAAAGGAGCAGACAAAGACATGGTGAGAGACCAGAAGCAGGACTTGGTGTATGCGTGTTTGTGGGGGAGGACCGGGTAGTGAGGGCATGGGATCTACATATCTCGTGCCCACTGTGTGTCTGTGTTGGTTCTGCTGGTTAGCAAGGCAGTCCTTTGGGAGCCTCTCAAAGGGGACGGATCAGAATGGAGAGCCAGGCCCGCCGGTCTCCAGGGTGCACCGAGGGAAATGTGTTGGGCCCTCAGCCATGTGGGGTCTGCTGCCTCAGTGGAGAGTACCATCTCTGTACGCCATAGTTGAATACCTAAAAATAAATTTGCTCCATCTTTTTGGCGCAAGGCCTCCAGATGTTCCATTCAACAAGGAATAGGGCTTCTGTGAGCCTACTTTTTTTCTGTGCGCACGCATTTGTGGGACCATGCGTTTTCGGCATTCCATCCGTCCCTTTTCTACCTTCGCCGTGGCGAGAGAGCAGTATCAAGCCCTATTGTTTCTATTCAATTAGCTGTCATTACCGACGGCAGTTTGATTATCGAGTTCATTTGGCTGCTGGAGAACAATGGAGGCAGCTCTTTTCATTCGGCATTGCACTGGTATTGTCTTCCCGTGCTGGAGAAAATTAAATGGGGCTTGTCTTTGAGGGATGAGACGAACGCCCCCAAAAGCAATGCCTCTTCTGGACGTCCTGATGTCCATGAACACTGGAGGGCGCAGAGCCAAGACAGGCGGATTAAAAGGAACTGCGCATTCTTGAGCCATTAACAACCTGGGCAACTGCAGGAGAAGACAAATGTGGGGCGACATTGATTTCACTATCATAATGAGCACCATTCAATCATGCCAAATCCACGGGGGCCCACGAGCACCATTAAGAGGTCAGCGGCTCCGAATGGCGCAGGAACAGCGATCCATAAATGATCTATTTAATGTACTGATATAAAAGGGACATTTCACAAATTGACATCTGATTACTTTCACAACCATGGTCTTGCCATTTTGCTAATAAGGTAGTTTGCTTATCTTCCGGGCAGCACTAATATGTTTGGTGTCTTTTCTTTGTTCCGCCGGGACTTTTATTGTTTATGCTTATAGCGAGCCAGGTCTCTGTCTGAGCACTCACCTCTCTTGTTCCAGCCTCATCCCAATGGCCTCCTCCTCGGACGCCTGCATGTCCTCAGCTCTAGATTTACTGGAGCCCTTCCTTCTCACTCCCCTCTCCTGGCCGCTCATCCTTTCCAGTGCTTTCCAAACCTGAGCAAAAGAGAGGAGCAGGGAGGCTTTAATTTAGGCCTTGACTTTAATAATTTCCAACCCAATGAGAGCTGTTTTTTTTTTTTTTACAGCAGCACGTCTATTCTTTTTAGGTGAAATACTCAGTAGGAAATTAAAGTGTCAAACTGTCAAAATCTTCTGGTTGGGTTTTTACTGGGAAGACAGCTCAGGATGAGTCTCCCCGGGCTCCCATTCGTTATTGAAAGAATAACATAACCTTTTTCATATGAATGCAATCAAAACGCATCATGCCATATATAAAGATAACTCCTAACATAGTGAATCCCCCCCCCCCCCTGCCAAGACTCTATTCAGGACAGCAGAAAGGATTCAGTGGGTCTGAAAAGTAGAAAATGGCCTAGAGGGGAAGATGAGCTCCCCGTTTCCCCCGTGAGCTGTGGGGTTTACTTAGAGTGATGGGCGCAGTGACAGCTCATGATTTAGTTTTGGGCGAGGAGGGAACAAGCTACCTGCAGCCAGGCGAAATGTAAGTGGCGGGAACGGCCGACACCGGCGGTATCAATTGTAACTTTTTTGGCAGCAAACTTTTACACTTTAATGGAGGGAGTGACACGACGGCGGCTGTAAATCCGTAACTTTAGCTTCACAGCGAGGTGACAATAAGCCGAGCCAATGATCGGATATTCCTCAGATCGGAACAGCTCGGTGCCAGGCAAATAAATGACTGAAGACTTACAGATGGGTGTGTGAAAACGATGATGAATGGAAAACAAGGCCTGCAGGGACCTACCATACTTTTACAGGTCTACATACACACACACAATATATGTACATGGACTATTAACTGACTCTCCTAGTTAAGACCTTATTACTCACAACAATGTGCTCAAGGAATTTGTGTGAAGAGAATTAATAGGTACAGGACAAAGACTGATGAGACAGAGCAGCAAAGGCAAAATCGAGAAAGTATGATGTCATTTCCTGCTGCTCCACAATGGTGCCAGCTGTGGAGGAAGTGCTAAACAGCAGGATACAGAAAGAGGAAGTATTACAGACAAATATACAGGCAGTGCACATAATGGCAGTTTTTACACACGGTGATGCCATATGCAGTTGATATACTGCTACTCTGACCCACATTGTGTGCTTCTCAATATGGGTGGGAATGCAAAGCCTCGGAGAATGCAACCATTTCATCATCATATTTCTAGGCTACCAGATTGCTTTAAATAATTGCAGTTGTGGGATTATGTTACAAAAAAGGGGAGGATTGGAGATTACATTTAGGTGTGTGTATGTGGGGGTCTCAGCACGTGCTTGATATAGATACCAAGTAAGAGTGAGAACAAAGTGTACAAAACTCAATGGAATGATGATAGAAATGTGTTCTAACTGATGTGTCTGATGGAAGTACTTAACTCCTTTAATAGATTGGTAATTACAACCCACATCAAACTCCAGTCACTCAACAGGTGTTCAGAGGATATGTGGTGACTCTGAAGTAAATCTCACCAAGGTTGGTGACAAGTTGAAGCACTCACTAGCATTTCATATTGTACGGAATGTCTGCCAAAATGTATTTTCACCACTTCATCAGTTTATCCTATTACACATTTAAAACTCTAAAATTAGAATTATTAGCATTTGAATTCCTGACTTATAGCTAAATAAAAAGGTTTGTTGATGTGAGATATAAACCTTTGATCCTTGAATGTAACGACATTCTGTAGGTGTCAGTGATAGTGACATTGTTTTCATACACAGATGGGAAGTCAGGAGCTATCTGTAAAAACTGCTTAAACATGTAATGACTGGAGTTGCATATCATTCAAAAAAGTAATTATTTCCTTGGTTTCACATGTGTTTTGTGCAATACTTGTTATATTGTTGTTGCTGGTTTAAAATGTGAAAACTCAATAAAATGTAATTGCTGCAAACCTTGTACTTTTTCATGATTGTCAGGTTGGTGGCCACTGGGACACTTATATGAACAAATCTGATGATTGTAAAAACAAGGCAATAATCAAAAGTATACAGGCAAGAGGGCATGTGAGACGTGAGAGAAAAATCAATAAATATAATCACAGAAAAGGACTGGGTTTTATTGACTCTTTATATTACATAACGTAACTTGATGGTCTAGCATTGTGCACGCAGGTACGGATTATTATTATTCCACATGGGCTTTTTTGAGCTGTCCTGTTCCATTTCAGACAGGGGAACAGGAAAAAGCATTAAGCTGCGCAGTCTGGGAGCCCCTTGGTGCTTCAATCCCACTTTGTTTTTACCTTCCTCATAGCTGAGCTTTATTTGACAGTTTTTAAAACTTTCTCCAGAAGCCGGAGAAATTAGATCAGACAAGGTTGACTTTGGGCCAGTGCAGTGAATATATTCATGATATGGGAGATTGTTTCTCTCTCGGATGTTTATTATTCTACTTTACATTAAAAGTAAAAGCCAAGACCTTTGTTGAAATAGTTTCTCTTTGCTAGTAGCTGCTTTGTCATTTTTCAAATGTACTGTGGCCCGGTGAGAGATTATGTTCTGCGGTTGCAGAGGAGAGGTTAATGGAGGGATATGTGGGTGCCTTTGTAGCACAGATAGCTTACATTACCTGATTAATTAATCAACAAATGGCTCCAGTAAGGCATAAAACTCCAAGCTGGGCCTGGGCATTCTAATAATAGTGAGCCTGCTATCTATCACCAGGGCAGGTGACAGCTTCCCTGGCCTCACTTCAAGGACTTTCATTAACTTTCTGAGGAAAATTCACCTTCCTTTTCCTCTTCCATTTTATTTCTCAGTCCTTTTTTCTCAGACCCTTCATGTAAAAAAACAAAAAACATAAAATAACCCAAGGGGAGACAAACTTCTGCCCTCAACTTTTTTTTTCTTCCCTTTCCCTAACCCTCAACATTAATACATTGAGGGATTTGTCACAGGGAAACATATTTGCGGATTACACCGAGCGGGACCGTGGGCGTGCAGCCTCTAAGAAAAGGCTATTCCCCCATCTCTGGCGGAGGCGGAGGGGAGGCACGGTACTACCCGGGCCTTTAGCAGGCTATCGGGACCCTTGCTGGTTCACAACATGGCTGTGCCCTTCACTTGAGCAGCTTGAGCCCTGCCAGTAGGGACCGTGGTGGAACATAGGATAAGCCACCGAAACCTCCGCTAACGCAAGAACCCTAGAGTCACCCAGTCAGCAGGAGAATATCTCTAAACGAGGACTGCAAACTAGTATTGACTTTCATACCTGTCTCTGGAAGATAAGTGTCTCATTTGAGAAAAGAAGACTCCAATAAAAATCCTCTTTGGCACCTTGGCATTAATCAGGGCTGGCATCAGCACAGTTGTATTGAGAGTGAGTTTGATGAGGCTTGATAATAAGATATTGATTGGCAGCCGCAACTCATGAGTAGAATGACAATGGAGTAACTACACTAGTTTTTGGAAAGATAGTGTCTTAGTATAATTACAACCTGGGACTAATATGGCATTTTTTGTTGTTAGATATAATAATACAATATTTGACTTTTTAAATCCGCATTCTTGACAGCAGGCGATTAATGGAATACAAAAAAATCTCCACTTGCTAGCTTGTGGAACTGTGGATCTATCAATTAAGAGTACTCTAAGCTATTTGAAAAGCAATGGTCACTATTACTCCCAACAACACAAACTCACGTCTCAGTTCGAGCCACGTTAACAACGATAAGGCATTTACATCGTCATAAAGCTCCGATCTTATTTTTGTGCCTCACTCCACCAGAGCGAAGCCCGGTTTAATGATCCGTCCCTAAGCATCTATCAGACTGTGGCGAACAGCAGGTAAGAGTGATGAACACACAAATGATGCAGAGGGCTATCAAAAGACAAGGAACAATGGTGGGGAGAGATGGAGATCACCTCGCTCACCTAGCGTTGCTGGAAAGATAATTTATGACAATATAACATGAGCACAGCTGAGTAAGACGCATATTTGATCGGGAGATGACGGGAATATTTACGACTTTTAAGCTGCGTTCAGAGCTCGAGCTGATCCGATAACATCTGATTGGCCATCAAACCTCATTTGGGTGGTGTGTAATCTAACATGTGTCAGTCATAATATATGCTTTATTAATGTTGTGACTGCCACTGGCGCAATGAAGCATTCACAGTAAAATTGAAGTCTTCAATCAAAGTGCCCCGGCTTCTGCCGACTGCATCTCATCAAATCAAATGTTTTCAAATGCTGTCGCACATTAGCCATATTCCTGAGGAGCTCGCCCTGTTGTATGTGTCTGCTATTACTATAAAATAAGTCAGTAAATAGGTACTCCATTCAATATGATACTTCCTCATATATCACTGGATACAGAAAGGTTTATACAGCGGACAGTCGAGGCCTCATACATCATCTTTATCGATTTACAGGGTAATATTACTTCAAGGCTGCAGCACAACAGGGGCGGTGAAAAAAGACAGAATTTTCAAGGCGGGAGAAAAAGTAAATTATGCAAAGCCTCAAAGCTAGTTTGATTGTACAATCGTTTAATCTGGGGAGTAGATTTGAGAGAAGCTAATCTGCTTTGACATCTTCTGTGGGGAATTTATGGTTTGCTCACAGGACGTTGCTGACTTTTTTTGGGGGGGTAGGGAGGATGACAGCAGGAATAGACTTCTATTCCCTCAAATGAAAAGCGTGGGGCTTTTTTGCAAAGTGAATGCAGGGACGGCATTGACTTTGACTGCCTGGTGAAACCTCACATGTGAGGTGTTAAATTAGTCAAATTTGTAAATGGAGCAGGTGAGGCGAAAAGAAAGACTATCTGCATCTATCAATTTGAGTAAGTGATGAGATGATAATTTCAAGGGCAGACAGAGAGAGTCATTATGGTTTCTGCTCGGCCAACCTGAAAGTTAATCCAAATCACGCAAGGCGAGGTCCCCCTCCGCCCCCGCATCTGAGCCCACATCCCCCTGAAACTGCATTTGTCGGAGCGAGGAAGAAAATAAGTAACTATGCCTCCACC